TTCAAACTATTGAATGGCAATTACAGAAGTGTAAAAAATGTTGAAAACAATTAAACAATGGCATCAAAACATGCTTTATATTAAATAAATGAAAATTTAAAAAGTAAAGTTATGTTTTTATAGCATATTTTTAAGAAATGTTATGGAAATTCATATAAATTTGTAGTAAATATTGCGTGTAAAAATATCACGATTTATTGTGATATTTTTGGGGGAAAATCGTGATATATCACGATACAAAATTTTTGCCGATACCCATCCCTACCTACCAGTACCTACCGGAACTCTAAATTTTTCAAGCATGAACATGATAAAAGTGGAAACAAAGCAGGTTTAACCAATCATTTTTCTTGGCTTTACTTACTAGATTATTTTCTTTGATAATTGGCTAGATTTCACAATTAGTAAGCAAGTAAATTGTATTTTATACGTGTAGTGATATATTACAGTATGAAGAAAAACATAAAAATACATGTAATCAGTCAATTAGATCTATGTGTCACTATTAGACAAATACATGTATATCATAGTTGATACCCATGACAAGTTTTAGATAAAGTTGAAAGTACCATATGTAGTGAGGTATTGATTAATTGATTAAATCAATTGTCTAATCGAAATGGTCCCCGATTATAGATAATCGATTACTCAAAATATTAGTTAAAAGCAAATTATTCCTTTAATTTTTGATTCATTTTTCTTTGAATTTAAGTAAATCCTAAATAATAATCTAATAAATGAATCCAATGATACAAACTATTTCAAAAATGTATTTTGGAAATCACTCCAGAATTTCTAAACAATTTATTCTACATTTGAAATTGAAGAAATATAATATTTGAAATTAATCAATTTTTTTTCGATTATAGTGCATCCCATTATTCCAATAATCAATTATGAAAAAAATCCCAATTTCCCATCACTAACCATATGCAAGAATTGTAACTGTCTGATGAATACTAACTGGTATATATGGTTTGACATTAAATATTATGAATTATACATAAATACAAACATACTTAATTATTGTTTATTTATAGTATCATAGGGACATACAACTTGTATGTTTCATAGTTATTAACTTCTTAAACATTTCATGTTTGAGATAAAGCCAACAGGTTTAGGTATGTGAAATCACTAACTGCCCATATACATGTAACAAGTTTATTGATGCAGACCTCTAGTAAAAAAAAAAGGGGGGTGCAACTGACATCTTAATGAAAATTTACTCTATAGCCAAATACTATTCTCAGAAAAAAGTTAGGAGGACAGACCCCCCCCCCCAACACACACAACCATTCTGTAGGCCTGTATTGACTAGATCAGGTGGACAAGATCATTTGATTGTTATTAAAATGAAAATTATTTTATCACCTGAACTAATAACTAAAACAAGATTATTGTTTCTTACAGAGAGCGGGAACATCATGATCATATCAGCAATGAGACAAGAAAAGTTTTCAACTTTTTCCACAAAGAACAATCAATAAACAGGCAGACAAAATTACAAGTCTAAAAATAAATGGAATGAAGGTGTACAATAACAAGTGAACATAGAAGTTTCTCTTGTAACAATCAGAATTAGACTAAAGTTTTGAGTAACGACAAGAAAAGTGTAATCACTGGATACACTATCATTTCCTATGATGTCCCAGTATTATTGAATGCAGTTTAAAACTGGCATTGCCAACAAATTCGATATGGAGTTATTGATGGAAGATGTGAATTGAAAACTGTGTGCGACTCGTTATAAAAAGTAAAGTAAAGTGGATTCTATCTCAGAATGCAGACTTTTGCAGTTGAAAGACCCCAGAGTTTTATATGAAAAGAGTCATATATCTTCAGTCTGTTTGAAATGTCCATGACATCAGTTGTGGATACATTATTGGTGTTATCAGAATTTGCCATACATGTCTGTATCATCATTTTTATATACAATGTCAGTGTTTGGTACTAAATGTAATAAGTTTTCATTAATTCAAATTTGGTCAAATTACAAATTATTTTTCTTTTTTTTTTTAATTGTAGATAGAGTAAATAAGTTTTCAATATGTTATGTATTTTGATTCTCATGAATTTTGCAATATTAAATACATTTCATTATAAAAATTATTTCATTACCTTATCATTGTATGAACAGATGCTAAATACACTGCATGTTAAAAAAAAGAGTAGAACCTGGGAAATTCATCTTCCTTATTTTTAACAAGGTTTTCCATTGGAAAAATGATGAAAATGGCACACAAGGACTGCTAATGACCCAAATGCGTGCCGTGACCTTGACTCAAGATCCTTTGATCAAGTTAAATGTCATTTTAAGAAAAACATTGAATTCCTGTATTTTGTATGGAGAACATGAGATGCTCATACTGATCATAAATATTGCATATAACCTAAGGTTACATGTATGTATTGAGTAACTGACCTTGACTCAAGGTCGTTCCAGCAAGTTCAAGGCTTCTGGCAGAAAAGGTGTGTTATTTGTACCTGGTCTATTACTCTCAAATGGAGGCTAATTGGTAGTTGATACTTGACACAAAAATTGCTTATGACTCAAATCTGTGTCATAATCTGACCCAATGTCATGAATGTATAATCTCCTACAACTTTCTTGTATTAATAATCTCCCGTCCCTCATGCATATGGTTACATTGAGGAGGTAATAAGCTGCCTCACGTCATGTACTGTAAGTTTTTATCTTCATTTATAAGCTCCTGTCAGTGTGTGAGAGTTATGTCAGGTGCAGTATTACAAAGCTGCTCAAGCCCGTAGAATGCCGAGGGGACCTACTTTTTCTGAGTATAGTAGTTTGCTATAGTGATTGCCCCCCCCCCCCCCCCCCCCCCCCCGGTGGCTACAAGGTCAAGCACTGTCAATTTCCACGAAATGGACATTTAATTAGTTTGGTTTCTTTTTTTTCTTGCCCATCAGATTATTTTGGGAAGTTGCCCCTCCCCCTATTTTTGGTGAGTTTAGTTTTTTTTTTTTTTTTTTTTGCTTGACAGATTTTTTTGGGGGAAGGTGCCCCCCCCCAACTTTTGAAACCATTGCTACAAGCTTACTGCTTGACTTGTAAACTTATGATACTTATTATTAGAGAAACAAAGGTTATTTTAACCATAAAAAGAAAACTAGAAAAAGATATTTAAGATAAATAGTTTAAAACCCTTCAAATTATAAAACATAAGTTCATCTATTTTAGTGAAGGACTATTTTTGTACTTTGTGGTTTTTGCTCTTAAAATTTTATCTGATTTTGTTAAATATTGCTGTTACTCTACACCATATTGTACACATGCATAGCAAAGTACAGTGTAGTATATTGAGTGTAGTATATTGTGGTGGTGTCACTATTTTCCCTAGCTTCAACAGCATGTATGATGGTTTAGTCAGACTTGTAGCAACAATTTAAAAAAAAAAAGGGGGGGGGGGGCAACTTCCCAAACAAAATCTTATAAAGGAAAAAAAGACCAAAGAAGGGGGCAATATTTCTCAAAAATCTGACAAGCAAATATAAAAAAACACCCAATTTCACTATCAAAATCCTGGAATTTGCTAGTGCTCGACATTGGAGACTAGCATCTAAGGGAAAATTTACTACAACAATATACTTTACTCAGACCCCCCCCCCCCCCCGCATTCTACGGACCTGGGTTTAATAGCTGGTTAGTTAATAGTTACTGAATCATATCTAATCTTTCAATATTGCTGAAGATGGAAAATATTCATTCAAGACAAAGATTTATTATTAATTAAAATTAAACATGGAGACATAGAATTATAGAACGAATGTACATTAACCTCGAGCATTCTGTCTTCGTCAATTCACTTTATTTCATCCGTTCCACGAAAACGTTAGAAATTATAAGCCGGAGTTTCAAATTCTATTTTTTTTTGTTCAAAACAATTCATAGATAATTGTAAACACCTCCTCCAAGTCTACTTTCAACTTTGATTCCGATTCGGCATTTTGTATACGAGTTGCAAACTGGAAGTGACGTGTACACGATAATGTACAAAACCCAACCGGGAAATCGGAAGATTTTCGGATTGTTCGGCAAAAATCAGGTGAAAAGCATTGCCCGCCGTGTCACAAGAGAAAAATAATAACTATAATAAAAATTTGAGTTTAAAACGACAAAATCAGGAGAGTTAGAAACTATAAGCAAGTAAATAAATTGCAATCTCATTATTTTAACATTTTATAACAGCTTTTTGAGCAGAGGAAATTCGGGTCAGGAAATTCGGGAGCACATTACTCCAAAACTACACACTAACATTATAAATTTTTATTAGCAATTTGTAAAGCAAGCAAATCACTATAAATATAGCATAAGATATCAAACTTTTAATTATTTTTTCATAATTAAAAAATACGTTGTACATATACATGAACCCATTTTCCCAATAAATTGTCATGATATAAATGAATCAAAATTAATTTGTCTTTTTGGCTTTTTTCTTGCACTATTTTGTTTTGAAATTAAAATTTCAATATTGTGGATGACATCTTTTTCAAAAAAATATTTTTATATTGTTTTTATTGTTGTTCTCATTTTTTTAAAAATTGGTTATAAAAATATCACTTTATCATACAGAGTTACCCCCCTTATTTTAGTGCGTCATAATTTTTGATTTACTCACTAGAACCTTTTCTTATAATATTTTATGAAATATATAAAGGTACTTCTTTCATTTTATGTGGATGTTTTAGAGTTTTAATTACTCTGAAATTAGACTTGTCAGTACCATACTCCCTTAAACACAGATTTGAAGTTAATATTTTCTTAAATTTTCTAATTAGCGTTTGATTATTTATTCAATTTTTTTGCATATAGGTCCTTGGTTCCATTAAATAAAATTTTGGTATCCATTAAATAAAATTCTGGCATTTAGCATTCCTCCTTAAAATCATATGAATCGGGTTTGGTTTCAAATAAATACGTCGGGTACGTTCTTTCAATATTATAACTGGAAAACACCGCGGAGTCCCCATGGACAGCACATTAGATTACCTTTTTCCACGATAAAGACGAGTTTTCTCTTTTTATTGTCCCTTATAAAATGTTATGATAAACAAATTTTGCATATGGAGACGACTTAAAACCAGAGAGAATGGGAAAGAAAGACAAGAAAGATAGAGGTAATCTTCTCGTAAAAATGCTGATGGTGATTATTTCACCCATCAGTATATTCGCGAATAGAAATGTTTTAAATGGTTGAAAACATTTCTTTGCTCTCCTGGTGATTAAAGAATATGTATATGGATAACTTAGTGATTGAGATGACGAAAATTCTCATAATTAAACCCCACCCACCCCAATTGGAGATTAGAATTTAAAAGTTATAAAGGCCACGATTTGTCCACCTTGGCACAGAATTCAAAAGCCTGTGGAATGGGCTAAATGGGTTGAGTGCTAATATGTTGACTATGGGACCGTTCGGGCAAGCGAAGTTGTTCAGTCAGGGGCTGACAAATCCCACTGCCCGACGCCCGGGGCTGGTGAATTTTAGAGATGGACAAGTGAATCTTTAATAGGCACTTGTCCATGGGCATGTAACTTTAAAAAATCAATCCATAATTTAAAAAAAATGTCCTAATTTTACACGAAATCGAAACTATTTTGTCCTAAGAGTTATCTTCCTTTGCTTGTCACACTTAGTGATCTTTCATTATCAATTCATTACAAGTCTTGCCGAAAGTTTAAGTGAACCGAAAGAGATAAATTGGCATTGGGGAAATGGAGAAAGTTTAAACAAGTATGCGGCAGAAAAACGATCAGAGCTGATGAAAAGTACACCGTCAACATATGGCAAAAGACATGTGAAGGGCTGAATTACAATAGCGACATGAATGGTATGGTACTTCGTACTTTTTGGCGGTAGTTTTCAACTGTCACCAATATTCAGAACAACACTTTCAAGTTTGCAAAATTACGGTGATTACGGGGCATTTCGGTGATTCTTAGTACCGAAAATTTTCTGATTTGGTGACATATTTATTCATTATGATGAATATGAAATGCTGGATAGTAGACTACAATGAAAGAATGAAAGGGAATGTGTTTTGTTGTTTTAGATGAAATTGAAAACTATTTTGTCATAAGCGTTATCTTTAATTGATAGTTTATGATGGGGCAAGTAAATATTGAATTAGGGCAAGGGAATTGTGACCATGCGCTTGCCCATGGGCAAGTGCTTGAAAAATCTATTTGTCAGCCCCTGTCAGTTTTAATTAATATCCACCTCTAGGTCCACCTCTCCAAATTGCATTTGAAATGTTTAGACTGTCATATGTTAGCTGTATTTCCGTAGCAAAGTCTGAAAAATCAGGGCTTAACAACCCATACATCCAGGTATGGTAAAAGAACCCTGTCAGCACGCCCACTTGAAAATTCTCTCTTTTTCCCCCCAAATTTTAGTAAAAATTCCCTAATTACAAGCAGATTGATTTTTTCAGTATTTTTCATTTTTGCAAAACTTCAATGAGAGATTTTAATAATTTGTAAAGATGTAAAAAGGGAATAAGCCTTCAATGTAATTCTTCATTCAACAGCAAAACTTTAATATGAGACATCAATATTTCCAAATTTTTGTCTCCTTTTCTATTTAAAACTCCCAATTGAAAAGGTACAGGACCCTGTACCAAAAAGGGGTCAATTAAGTCATGAATGTGCAATTTTTTAACATACGACGTTATTATAAGCTACTATTTATCTGCAATATTCATTAAATCAAGGTAAGTGCATTTTTTGTTGAACTTTCTGAATGGTTGTTACCACAAGAAAGAAGTTAGCAGCATGATGCATTTGGGTTGCATTGTAAGTCTTGAGATAACTGCAGAAAAAATTCATTTGGATCAATGTGTATAGTTCGAATTTTCTCTTTGCCCGGGCAAAGTATTGTCATAATTAATAGCTTGCAATGTGAGCGGTGCTTTGTGCCACTCGCTGTGCTTGCTTTTAAAGTATATATTATAAATTTTATGATAAGTCTTGTAACATCAATATTTTGTACTGAATAAATCTTTTTTTTATTCTTAAATGAAGCTGCAGCTCTTATTGTTTCCATTTCAATATTTGCAGAAGAGCGAAAAGCGAAGAAAGCAAAGGTTGAGTATGAGGAATATGTGGAAGAAGAGACAAATGATGCAGACCCATCAGCAGGTAAATCTAGGACTGATAAATGCTGATTATATAAATCTACTGCAAAAATAAAACTTCTTCCAAATTAAGTGCAAAAGTTGAATTGGAGCCATTGGTTGTTTAGCCTTTCACTTACATGAAGTATAATCTAACAACAGATAGGCACTTCTGAAAGGGGAGAGGGGGGTGGGGGGTGAGAGCTTTAGATTTGATCTGGGAATTTATCCATCTATAGCTAGAAAGATCTTTCGAATTCCCTAAATACCTTTGGGTGACACAAGATAAAATGCCACTCGGTTAACTGAAAGGTGGCTTGAATTTGTCATTCACCCACCTTTCCAGACCTTTAAGTGGTAATTCAGTTGACTGAATGGTGCAGATTCATCCTATGTGAGCCCATGAAAAGTTTATAAAAAAAAACTGCTTCAATTATGCAATGTATTACTGTTAGACTACAATTTTTGATTTTGAAAATTGGGATTTTTCATGTGTTCAAAATTTTCAAAATTAGAATTCAAAGCAGTATTTAAAAAATATATATATTTCTTTTTTTTTTATTTGATTGAGATTTGATTGATACCTGTTAAAAACAGGAATTAATTTCTTTATTGCCAAATTAGGATATATAATTTTCATTTTTCAGTTCCTGAGGCTGCCACTCGTTCAGTAGATGATGCAGGTAAAGAAGATGAATTTGGTGCCAAAGACTACAGATCAGAACTTGTTCTGAAGCCAGATCACAGCTCAAGGCCTCTGTTTGTGGTAAGCTAGAGAGCTTAACCCTCTGTTTGTGGTAAGCTGGAGGACTTTACCCTCTGTTTGTGGTAAGCTGGAGTATTTACCCTCTGTTTGTGGTAAGCTGGAGGGCTTTACCACTCTGTTTGTGGTAATCTGGAGAGCTTAACCCTCTGTTTGTGGTAAACAGGAGGGCTTTACCTTCTGTTTGTGGTAAGCTGGAGTATTTACTCTCTGTTTGTGGTAAGCTAGAGGGCTTTACCATCTGTTTCTTTAATTGGTAGACATGAAATAGGTCATGATAGTGTTACTCTCTGCAAAGTATATTACATCTAGTAAAATAGGAAGTGTGAAGTTAGGGAATAATATTAATTCTCTTTCTCCTATTATTAAGTACTATATGTCCTTGACTGTGTGCATCTTCAGACTCGCAGTTCATTTCTTCAACAATGAAATCCTTAATTTTTTTTCTTCACACCACAAATTTTGAACCATAGAAAAAATTTGACCTATGCAGTTTTTCATTTTACCTTTTCTATATACATTGTAGTATTAATTTTTTTTATGTATTATGCAGATGATGAATCATTATTCTTCTCTTTCAGGCTCCTAATGGCCATATCTTTCTTGAGTCATTTTCTCCAGTATATAAACATGCACATGACTTCTTAATTGCCATCTCAGAGGTAGGTCTTCATTGAATGAATAGGGGTGGATTATTTATAGAATTTTTTACTTTTATTAGATTGTGACATGTGTCAAAATAGGTCAATGTTTACGAAATTTAATCTTCAATAAGAAAAAAGTTACTCAAGAACTATGTCATATAGGCCCAGATTTTTTTTTTTCGTTCTAATAAAGTTAAGGCAAATTGTGTAAGTGTTAAGAAGATACATACTATTGACTAAATATACACAAGGAATTTATTAACACAAGAAGTATCACTTGCGGAAAAAAAATTTCCCTTTAATTTTCATATACAACTTTCAAAAGTCATGATCAAGTCCTTTGGCAAATTCATTTTCTTGCAATCAAACAACTACAAGGCATTTTGATGATAATAAATACTCATATAAAATAAGGAATCTACAATAGGCACACATATGTAAAAAAAAAAAAACCAACAACAACAAACAAACAAAAAAACTTTTATCACCTTTTCTGATAGTAACTTTACTTAATTTCTCAGCCTGTGTGTCGTCCGGAGTTTATACATGAGTATAAGTTGACGGCCTACTCCCTCTATGCTGCGGTGTCTGTCGGCCTCGAAACCAATGACATCATAGAATACCTGCGACGACTTTGTAAAACATCACTACCTAAAGGAATAGAGGAATTTATACAGGTACTAGTACACAATAGACATAAAATGTAACAATACAGTAAAACCTTGTTATCTCAAACTCAATGGGACGGAGAAAACACTTCAAGATATACCAGGGTTCGAGACATCCAGGGTAAAGTACTTAAAGAGTATGGGGTTGGGACTTCCAATCACTTCGACATATCCATGATATTCAAGATATCAGTGTTCAAGATACCGAAATTTAACTGTATGTGTACCTGGTAAATGTTTTTTTTTTTTTTTTTGCAAATTGATATTGCTGTGTCAAACAGTACTAGTGCTTAGGAATCAATGTATTTTCAGATTTTTTAGTTTCTTTCAAATCATTAAAATCTTCTAGTACAAAAATCATAAGAGGAGTCTTGACAGTTTTCAAAATTAAAAAAACAAATCTGGAAGTGATGATATTGAATTTGAGTAAAAGTTGTCCTGATGTTAGATTTACATGAAGTACATTTACTGTAATGTATAATTACTGTAACAGATAATTACTGTACTGGATAATTACTGTAACAGATAATTACTGTAATGGATAATTACTGTAACAGATAATTACTGTAACAGATACTAGATGCCTTGTTTAACAGACCATGACTTTAGTGACTGAGAATCACTCACAAATGTGAACCAAAATTAGGTTCTTATACATGGAAGTAGAATTAAGCCAAAAAGGCTACTTTTAATACCTGATTAACCTGGAGAAATATCTGAAAATTTTGACAATATTTTTTTCTTTTTTCAGTTGTGTACTTTGAGTTATGGAAAAGTGAAGCTGGTACTTAAACATAACAAATATTATGTAGAGAGCCAGCACCCGGTAAGTATCACAGTGGATAATTTAGTAGATACTTTTACTTTGGATAATTTACAAAATGTCTGAAGTAGAAAGTTAGCTTTCCTTTGATCTTAAAAAAACAAAATAAAATAAATCATTAGGTCAATGTATTTATTATATGGTGAATTTAATACAATTGAATTTATCACCCATATAGATCCACCATTACTTAAATGTTATGGAAATGATGTTCTCCAGTTACAAATACATATTATGTAATATAATTAAGTTGTTCTGACATCCTTTGATGTCAACTAGGTACATATGTAGATATATCTCAAAAAGATCTTCCAATATTTTTGTCAATGTATATGACAAAGTCCAGATATATATAATTACATAATGAAATCATCTTAAATACATAATTGTATGAATGATACACATGTACATGCATCTGTCAAAACATAGGAAGTGACCCAGATAGTTAAACACTGACATGGTCATTTAATCCCTGTGTTGAAATTTTAGGAGGTGAACTAGATAGTCAAAGACTGACCTGATATCATGTGATCTTTATTAAATTTTTAGGAGGTGATCCAGATACTCCTGAAGGATCCAGTCATACAGGAGTGTAGATTCCGGGCAGATGAGACTGACCTACTTACTGACAAGGTGTCCTCAAAGTCTGCTCTACAGGTTAGCTAAAATTATGCTACGAAAAATTTTCAGTAAAAATTGCATTTACTTGAGTTTAAGAGAAAATTGATACTAAATTTGGATTTTTAGCTCATCAGAGCCAATGGCTCATTTGATGGACAGACATAAACAAGATTTAGCTATTGAAAATTAAAAATTTTTGTGTACGTTGATTGACTTCTTATGCTAGTGTTATAGATAAGTTATTGTAACCCTTATTACTGTTTAGCTGGCCAAACGTGGACCCAGCACCTCCTCCAGTGCCCCCACAGAAGGAGAGACAAAAACCGAGGAGGCACCTGAAGAGGAGGTGCCTGACGATATCTACGCGTACTATGATAAAATGGACAAAGACGAAGATGAAGAGGAGGATACCAAAACCGTGTCATTCGAGGTCAAACAGGAGAAAATAGAGGTCATACAGAAAAGGTCAGAGGGCAATGTTATAAAATAATAAAATTTCCTTGTATTTATAAGCAAAATCTGAATGGAAGTATTTAGATTTTCAAAATAGATTTTATTTATTTATTCAATTTCTTCCTTTCTTTCTTTCTTTTTTTTGTTTTTATTTATTTATTGATTCATTTTGGTAAGGAGAGAAGTTGTCATAAAGTTTTATGAAGTTGTGTTTTATTTTCCCTCAATTTTTTCAGATGCATAGAACTAGAGTACCCATTACTGGCCGAATATGACTTCAAAAACGACACGGTCAATCCAGACATCAAGTAAGTGAACTATATATCAGTACTAATGTTATTATCTCATCTGGTAAAGATCTTCTTTTCTCTCAAAAGTATGAACAAAATGAAATTAAGATCCCTTTTAATTGTAAATAATAATTGTTTTTCATGAATTAGGCCTTAAAAAATTAATAACTTGGTTTTCAGGCTAGTTTTGTCAAAAATAAATGCAGAAGGGAGGCTTTAAACTTAAACTTACAGAACTCGACACTTTTAGATGTGATGCATCTTGTCAATTGCTTACGTATCACAAGTAAACTAAGAGTGTTTCAGCACTATAAATAGTGCTTATGATTTTATTTAACATTGTCAAATTCATTCAAAGGTATTTGGTTTACCCACACTAAATGAAATCAGCAAAACTTGCCGAAGCTTTTCTGGAAATATCCAAGTTCCAAGGTTGAGGGAGTCATTCTTTGATAGTGTTATAGAGTTCTAGCATGGAACAACCTTCAGAAAACCCTCACTATGTGCCATAGAAGTATTACAGTCATTCCCTTATGAATTTGCACTGAAATCAATTCCATCATGACTAAACTTAATCTTGATGCCTTAACCTGTTAACTCGACAGCCATATTTGCGATTTTTAACAGGACCACTAGTCTGTATCATCTTCATGTTTGTCAAACGTTTTACTGATGGGAGTATCTAAAATGTTGTCGGGGATTCCACAATTTTTTTTTTTTGCACCGTACAAGCATGAGAGAAATTTTATTTTACATGTATTCATTTGATAATAAATATGGGCAATGCACATTGTTAAATGAGATGCAGGCAAGCCTGAGAACCAAGTTATTAATTTTTTAAGGCCTTAGTGGTGATAGTTAAAAGATGAACTGTTATTTAACAAATCAGGTAAGAATATTACTTTATTGAACCATGTGTGTGGGCTTTTTTTCAGCATTGATCTTAAACCGTCCACAATCCTGAGACCTTACCAAGAGAAGAGCCTGAGGAAGATGTTTGGTAATGGTAGAGCCCGCTCTGGAGTCATTGTACTACCATGTGGTAAATCATCAAAGAATATGTATTAAATGTGTAGAATCTATCTTGAGCTTTGCATAAAACAGAGCAAAGCCTAAAATTTTTCTCTAGTTGAGATGTAGTGTGTCATGCATACATACTTAGTTACAAATGAAAGCATCCAAGGACCATAGACCATTTTTAAACAGTCTGTGATGGATTATCCATCAGATTTATTATATTAAATGTAATATACATGTATATACACTAAGTATGTATATACTGATTTGACAAAGGAGCAGGTTATACCTACATGTACATGTAATATTGGGACAATGTATGTGACACAGGTGCTGGTAAGACTCTGGTGGGAGTGACAGCAGCCTGCACTGTTAGGAAGAGAACAATATGTCTGGCCACGTCAGGGGTTGCAGTGGAACAATGGAAGCAACAGGTACATCCAGCACAACATTTTTTTGTGCTTAACATTTTCTTGTACATGTATGTACATTCATCTTTGAAGGCCTTAGCATATTGATCAGAAATCTTGAAGCTTTTCTATTACATATAAAAAAAAATTCTTCCATGTTTTATCATTAGAAAAAAAATCTCTGTAGGTTTCTCTTAAAAAAGAAAATACAGTTGAACTTCGGTATCTCGAACATGGATATCTGGAATACCATGGATATGTTGAAGTGATTGTGAAGTCCCAACCCCTTATTCTATAAGTATTTTACCCCAGATATCTTGAATCCTCAGATATCTCGAAGTTTTCTCGGTCCCATGGAGATTGAGATAACAAGGTTGACTGTATGTACATGTATATTTGTATACATAGAGAAAGATTGTAATAACATTGTAATGTTGTATTTTTTAGTTTAAGATGTGGTCTACAGCGGATGACAGCATTATATGTAGGTTCACATCGGATGCAAAGGACAAACCTATAGGTAGGTGGACTATTTTAGTATATAAGCTTAACCTTGGTATCTCCAACGTCATGGATATGTCGAAGTGATTGGCAAGTCCCAACCCCCTTTTCTTAATGTATTTAAACCTCAGTATCTGAAATCCTTGGATATTTCAAAATTTTTTCTTGGGTTCCATTGAATTTGGAGTCAAGAGCTTCGACTGTACATGTATTGAATTTCAAATTATGGTACAAGAAAACATACTCCCTATTTGTTTAATGTTATATTCTTTTGTCAGTTTAAAAGCTCATCAGGCAAAGATGTTCCTTCAAATATACAGATTTTACACAATGAACCCATCAAACACATTGACATTATTTTAATAGATAAGCATTGTTAAATGAAATGAGGTCACTTTAATTTTTTTTTATTGCGGTCAGGGTCATCTATACTCATCAGTACCTATTCTATGTTGGCTCATTCCACCAAACGTTCCTGGGAGGCAGAAAAAGTCATGGAGTGGATGCAGAGTCAGGAGTGGGGAATCATGATTCTAGACGGTGAGTGTATTTTAGATGGTTAAGTGTATTTTAGATGGTAAGTGTATATTAAATGGTAAGTGTATTTTGATGACATCAGAAAATTTGTATTAAACACAGACTCGAAACCTGCCCACCATTTTTTACCACCTGCAGATGTAGTTTTACTGTTCCTCTGATAAGAGTCAATTTAAGCTGGGTGCAAATTATGCTTAAAACATTTCTGGGTTACAGTGAATGAAGCATTATGGGTAGAGAATATCTATATACTTAGGTTATGATTTTTAAGGACAAACTTATTTTTGATGGAGGTATGTTTCTCATATCTGCTGTCTTACATTTAAAGCATTTCAGTTTTATGCCTCTAGACATGTACATAAAAAACTTAAATTTATATAGCATGTGTTGCTTATGTTTATTGAATAAACAGAGGTGCAGACAATACCTGCCCGTATGTTCAGACGTGTCCTGACAATTGTAAATGCCCACTGTAAGCTGGGACTGACTGCCACATTGGTACGAGAGGATGATAAAATAGCAGACCTGAACTTTCTGATTGGACCAAAGCTGTATGAGGCGAATTGGATGGAACTACAGAACAATGGATACATTGCTAGAGTGCAGTGTGCAGAGGTAGGAAGAAAGACATGTAGTATCAGAAGTTTAGCATTGGGATTGCTTTTCTTGTTTGAGAGAATGTGCTGCAAAAACTGAAACCTGCAGATTTTTTTCTGCAAAATATTTCTCTGGTTAATCCAGTATGTTGATTTTTAGTCGGCTATTCTCTCTCTCTCTCTTTCTGAGTTTATTTACATGTGTAAGAAATATATTGTAACAAGAGGTGATTTTAAACCAATGCTTATTAAATGTACACACATGCATGGGTACATATGATGTATTTCATGTATATGTTATAGGTATGGTGTCCTATGGCCCCAGAATTTTACAGAGAGTATCTCAATACCAAGTCTCAGAAAAAACTGGTAAGAATTTTCAAATTTGCCACTGATCTTTATTATTAAGCATATGTGTCAGTAGTATTGGGATGAGTTTGCAACTCATAAGTAAATGAATATTCAAAATTTTGCAATTTATGAAACATTAAATAATTTTTCTCACAGCTGCTTGCAGTGGTTAATCCTAACAAGTTCCGAGCTTGTCAGTTTCTCATTAGATATCATGAAAGACGAAACGACAAAATCATCGTCTTCTCAGACAATGTCTTCGCTCTGAAAAGCTACGCCATTAAGTTGAATAAGTAAGTTTAATACTCTTTTTGAATGCTGTTGTTATATTTGATACTCTCTATTTAGCTTTCTTATAAAAAGTTTTGAACTAAAAGGAGTTTGAATGGGAAATATATGGATTCCAAAGTAAAAAAGATATCGCTGAAGGTTGTTTTGAGTTGTCTTTCTAATAGGTCCTTGTGGCACACTTTTTTCTGAATTTTTTTCAATCAAATATGCTCATTTTCTGTGCTTTTCAGACCATACCTGTACGGACCAACTTCACAAGGGGAGAGAATGCAGATCTTGCAGAACTTTGTCCATAATCCAAAAGTCAACACCATCTTTGTTTCTAAGGTGTGATGTCATTCTAATACAGAAATTATGAATATATTGTACAGTACCAACCAGACCCAACCTGACACAAAGCAGTCCCAGAGCAGTCCTGGGGACTGCTTTCTGGGACTGCTAAAGCAGTCCCAGAGTGGTCCCAGAGCAGTCCCAGCAGTCCCAGAAAGCAGTCCCAGCAGTCCCAGTGGGCGGGGTTTATTAATTTAATGGGCGGAGCTTACTCAGAATGAGATTACCAATAAACAATGTAGCTATATAAAAGGCAGTTGAAATTGATGAGCAATTCTTTCTGAGTAGTATCAACAAATATTTACAATTCTTACGCGACTGTCATTTCTGAACTGTAAAGAAAATCACAGTACGCGTATAGAAACAAATTATAATTATTGAATGAAGAAGACGTTCACACCTATTAATAACATGAATATAAAACACAATTATTTGGTATATTAATTTTTTAACCAAAATAAACCAATTTCTTCATTTTTTGTGATTGATATTGGTTTTCAATTTTTTTTATATAGAAAATTAAACTTGAATTGTTTATTTTATATCAGAATAAGCTTTAAATAGATAATAATAATTATAGAGCAAGGCTGATTCCCATACTATACTCTGAATGCATTTTTCTTAAGTATTGGAGCTTTTGAAAAATTCTTTGTTAAACATTGCCGAATATTATATTTCAGTCTTGATTATTTTCAATGACTTCCCAATTTAATTATCTTTAGATTCTCAATATAAATGTTCGAGTGTACATCTGTAAATCACGCAAATGGAACTCTCAGATTATGTTCAAAATTAATTAATCCCGAAATAAATTTATACACAATTATTGAAACTAAGATTTTTTGCATAACATAGATTGAAATTGGTGTCAATGTTGACCAGAGTGTTCAGTGATGTGTAACACTGATACCCAAATAACATGCTTTGACTTTCTGCTAATTATGCCCAAAGGCGATTGAAACCTCAGGTGTTGACACCATTTTATACAATCTCATTGTATTAATCGGCCAGGTAAATACAAACAAAAGAAATAAGAAACAAGTCACAATTCCCGATATTTTCATATCATGTGACATATTATGAGACAGAAGAATGGTAGAATAATTTTATTTCACTGTCATTAAATAAATCATTAGGTTTTATTTGAGGGTGGAAAAAATTGCATGGAGTGCTCTTTTTTAAGCATGGTATTAGCTTTTTCAATTAAGAAAAAAAAAATCCAGTACAGTACGTTCATCTGTATACATGTATCTTACTGAAATGACAAGTTTGTTTGTTTTTTGTTTGTTTGGTTTTTTTTTTAAATAGTACTAAGGCAAACTTTGAGTACATATGTAATTTGACAGCATTAATTTATTAAATAGGCCTAGATAATTTTTTTTCAAACACCTGTATTGAAGTTTAATTTAAGGGATAAAAACCATCCCCTGACTTCCCTTTTTAACTACTTTTATTTTCTTAAAATTAATTCTAGACTACAATTGTGTAAATTTACAGCCCTCTGAAGACATTTAGTAATTACATGTATAACTATCTCTATTTATTTAATTTTTGTAAGAAATTAATACTTGTTTTTTATATTTGTTTTTATCTTAAACACCTCTCTGCAGAAAGTAAACAAAACAACAACAAGGAGCTGCAAATTCAGAATACACAAGGTGCGGAGCTATCATGTCACTCAGAGCCTTTTTCACGCATGAGTGAACAAAGCAGTCCCAGAAAGCAGTCCCAGGGACTGCTGGGACTGCTGGGTCTGCTTTCTAGAGCAGTCCCACAGCAGTCCCAGAGCAGTCCCATAGCGGTCCCAGAGCAGTCCCACAGCGGTCCCAGAGCAGTCCCACAGCAGTCCCAGAGCGGTCCCAAAGCAGTCCCGGGGACTGCTTTCCGGGACTGCTTTGGTGTCAGGTTGGGTCTGGTTGGTACTGTATCTTTGATATGTGTGATTTCATGAAAATATTTCATGTTTTTTATACAAGATATATATGTATTAGGGGGAGCATATTAGGATAGCTTTATTTTAAGCATAATCTTTGTTAAACTCTTTGCAGGTGGCTGATACTTCTTTTGATCTCCCGGAGGCCAATGTTTTGATCCAGATTTCTGCCCATGGGGGCTCTCGTAGACAGGAGGCTCAGAGGATGGGACGAATTCTAAGGGCAAAAAAAGGTACACTGTAGGATACCCACTGAGTGGGGCAGAGTGTGAAATACATACTGCATACCATTGGTAGGATCTGTAGCAAAGATCTTTTTTATAAATTCTGTTCAGTATATATATGTTCTATACTTTTAGTAGCATCTGTAATGGAGGTTTATATGAAATGCTGTATACTTTTGGTAGGAGCTGTAGCAGAAGAATACAATGCCTTTTTCTACTCCCTGGTTTCACAAGATACAATGGAGATGCATTTTTCATTAAAAAGGCAGAGATTTTTGGTGAATCAGGGCTATGCCTACAAAGTCATTACCAAGCTTGAAGGCATGGATAAGGTAAAGAGTGTTAAATAATGACTAAGCAGTAAGATGTATCTTTAAATTTAGATTCAAGTTTAACTGAAATGTATATAGGATATCTTCAAAGAAATGTACCTATTCAGTCATGTGACATCAAAAGTCGCTCTATACTTCAGCTGACTTCAGCTCATATATTTTGTGAGTCAGATGAAAAGGAATTGCCCTCATAACCATTGAGAAACCAAGCAGTTTACAAAATTGGGAAAAGATTCAGTTATATATTGCTGACAAAACTTATCATATTTAATAGGAGAATCTGGCATATGATACAAAGGAGGAACAAGCTCAGCTGTTACAGAAAGTGTGCGCTGCCACAGAGCAGGACGCAGAGGAGGAGAGAGTGGCCGGGGAGGGAGGCTTCTCACAGGTAAGAGCCATTTGGGGGGAATAAGTTTCTCACCTGTAATAGACAGGGTTATGTCTTGCTGGTAAAAGGTTTTTGTAATATTCAGTAATTACAGAGGTTTTGTATTTTATGTCTGTGATGTTAAAATCTAATTTTATTATTTTTGTGTGGAAGAATAGTAGTTTTTCTGTCTAATTTGTTCTTGCACATTAATTTTATATATGAATTTAATTTTATTTTGTGTTTTGTTGACCCCCCCCCCCCCCCCCCCACTAACACACACAGTTATTTTCCGATAGGATAAAACTAAAAATGTCTTTGTCCATATTGTCCCTGTGCTTTTGCCCTGACACAAACTGCCATTTTTGACCCCTCTTTTCTCCATTGTTAGGTGAGCAGGAAAGTTGGAAGTATGTCCTCAATGTCAGGAGCAGACGACAGCCTCTACATGGAGTTCAAGGGTAAAAGGTCAGCTTTACCCAGCAGTCACTCTCACCCTCTGTTCAAACGCTTCAGGAAAACATGACGTGGTACTCAGGAGTGAAGATTGCTAAACTGTGTTAAACTGGTACACCTCAAAGTTTTCAGGAAATTTTTCCATTCTTACAATGAAAAAGAAATCAAACAGAGGATTATTGTTCTGTTATGCTTGTGAACAACTTGATAAATCAATAATCCTTTTAGAGGATGAAGAAAAAAAAATTGATGGTGTGTTTTTCTAGGCACATGTGTTTCACATATGAGTATGTGTGCCAATTACCATTAACATATACAAGTACCTTTTACTATATCTATAAATGACGATTATGGAGGTACATACAGATGATGGAAAAGGTCAAAATCCATTTTTAGTGAACAACATGTTATTCAGAAATGCATGTATTAAAGCATAGACTTCATCTTTGGTGTTCTGTTTTTTTTAAAGAACACTTGAATCAATATTTAATCATCTATAATTTTACTGATACTGTTTGAAATATTTAAATTTGTATTTTTATACCCCCACTTGGAAGGAGAGGGGGTATACTGTTTTACCTTTGTGTGTCTGTCTGTGTGTCTGTCCCTAACAAATTTTTGTCCCAGTTTTCTCAACAACTACTCATTGCAGATGTATGATATTTAAGCAAACTCTTTGTCTAGGCATGCCATATGGTGGGATTCATTTTTGTACAAATCCAACTTCCTGTTTATCTGTGCATCTGTCCATACCAAATTTTCTCATGGCAGATGCTTGAAATTTTAGCAAACTCTTTGTTTTTGCATGCTATATGGTGAGATTTTTGTATAAATTCAACGTCAACTTCCTGTTTATCCATGCGTCTGTCCGTACCAAATTTCCATAGCAACTGAACTTATGTATATAAACATGAGAATGTATATACATATGAGAGTGTATATTCACATCAGAGCGGCAATTTTACTAGTGAGCATTTGCTCACAGACTTCTTTTTCATCAGAAATACCAGAGCTCAACATTAAAGCTTTTCTGCTTGTTTGGTACAAGTGAAAATAAATTACCGGTATGGAGAAGTAAATATTGCTGGGCGCTTGTCCGATTGGACAAGTGCATTTTAATGTAAAGAAGTCTCCAAATAATATAAAGAACGACTGTTGAAAGTTTTAGGTTTAAAGATTGGTAGCAGTACATAAAATCAAACTTCGATCCAGATATTGATCACTATGTAATACTGAGTTCACACTCGATTGGGATCAAAGCTTACTAATTTCATACTACTGCAAAGCATGGATCTTGCTAAGTTTGGATTCTGTTTGATGTTGACAATTTCACTTTGAGTGAACATTTATGTTGTTGTCAGGACAGAAAGTCTAGATAAAATTCTGTTTTATGTGTTTGTTGTATTTACATGTATCAATAACATCACGAATCAATCAAGCACATATAATGGACTTTAGGCCACACCAATAAAATATTTTGTTCGTCGGACCCGTGCGCCCATATTTAAACAAAACTGTACAAATAATATTAATTTCAATTTCCCGCACCATGGAAATTCTGTGTTATTTTCTATTCCATTTCCGCTCTATTTTTCGTATTTTTAAATCTGCTTACTCTGCAAATCAGAAAAAAAAATAATTGTCCGCTCAAATTTTTTCACACCCCGCCTAAAAAAATTTTGTCTACAAAAAAGTAATAATGTTATTATTTAACCGCTCGCCCCCTCATCACATGTCCGACGAACAAGAAATTAAATTGGTGTGGCCTTATTTTAGTTTTCAAGTTGACAGAATTAGATCATTATTGAAAAAAATTTCAGACAAGTGAAGTTGAAGTTCGGACAAGTAAATGTTTTGGTCGTTTGTCTGAATGGACAAGAAGGAAAAAAAATATATAGAGCCCTGAATACACATTGAAATAAAAAGTTTGTCATGCGAAATATTAACCAGTAAAGGAAGATCACGGAAATTTATCGCACGCAATTATAAGTTGGTATACAGTACATGGGTTTTCAGTAGTTTCACAGTAACTCTAAAAGAATGCCAGGGATAAATCACTCAGTGATCATGAGACAAGGAATATGTACCTGAAGACTTGATAAGCTGCAGCATCAGCTACTGACATCCATTACTCCAGCTAGCTGTTATTAGCTCACCTGAGCAGAAGGCTCTAGTGAGCTTTTCTGATCAAAATTTGTCCATTGTTTGTTGTTGGCATTGTTGTCGTTGGGGTTGTCGTAAACTTTTCACATTTTCATCTTCTTCTCCAGAACCACTGCACCAAAATCAGCCAAACATGGCACAGAGTATCCTTTGGTAAAGGGGATCCAAGTTTGTTCAAATGAAGGACCACTCCCTCTTATAAGGGGAGATAACTAAGAATTAGTAAAAAGTGGGTGGGGTCATTTTAAAATCTTCTTCTCAAGAACTACTGGGACAAAAAAGATAAATCTTATATGAAAGCTTCCTAATATACTGTAGATTTAAGTTTGTACAAATCATGACCCCGGGGGCTAGGGTGGGGCCACTATATGGTACAAAGTTTAATTGTTATAAATAGGAAAAATCTTTAAAAATCTTCTCAAGAACAGCAAAGCCGTGATAAGTCATATTTATTAGGAAGCATCCTCAGGTAGTGTGCATTTAAGTTTGTTCAAATCATGATCCCAAGGGGTGGGGAGTGGCCACAATAGGTGATCAAAGTTTTACATGAAAATATGTAGGATGGATCTATAAAAAATTTTTCTCAAGAACTTAGCAAAGCCATGATTGGTCATATTTATATGGAAGCATCCTCCTGTAGTGCAGATTCAAATTTTTCAGATCATGACCCTTGGGGCTAGGGTGGGGTGTGACGGTACATATTGTCGTTTTGTACATATTGTCGTCGGCGACAATATGTACCTACCCTCACTGCACATATTGTCGTCCATCGGTACATATTGTCGCCGGCGACAATATATACCGAGACGAGCCTTATTTTCCTCCTGCATAATGGACGACAAAATGTACAGTCAAGCACCAGCACATATTGTCGTCAGCGACAATATGTACAGTCAAGGTCGGCATATATTGTCGTCGATATATTGTTTTGACGAATATTTACTTGAGAAAAGAAAGAGAGATTGACAAACACATACACGCACGGAGGGAGACAGACAGCATTACTCACAATATTGTAGGGAGAAAACTTTTTGGTCAGAAAATTGTGTCCAAGATTGATGTTTATCACTATGACATATCAAGATACCGTAATTCTTGAGATATCTATAAATCAGCTATTCTTTTTTCTTGTAATATATACTTGGTGAGTGAATACAGGTATGTTTTTTTGTTCAGTAGTAATGATTATTTGGAAATTATTTTTTGCGTTATTCTTATATATGATCATGTGCTGATATAATATTATAAATATAATTTATTGTTAACAATAATATAAGAATAACGCAAAAAAGAACATTTTTAGATCACCTGAAGTAAAGTTCAAGTGAGCTTTATTGATCACATTTTGTCTGATCGTCCGTCTGTCTGTAAACTATTCATTATTTCAGTTTCATCTCAAGAACTACTGGGCCTATTTCAACCAAACTTGCCACACTTGCATCTGTGGATAAAGGGGATTCAAGTTTGTTCAAATGAAGGGTCATGCCCTCTTTTAAGGGAATTAGTTAAGAATAAGTGAAAATTTAGTGACTTCTAAAAATCTTCACAAAAACCACTGTGTCAGAAAAGTTGAAACTTGTGTGAAAGCTTCACTAGAAAGTGTAGATTCAGTTTTATTCAGATCATATCCCTCGGGGGATAGGTGTGGCTACAATAGATGATCTTAGTTTTTCATAGAATATTTAGGAAAAAAAATCTTTCAAAATCTTCTTTACAAGAACTACTGGGTCAGAAGAGATGATACCTATGTGAAAGCTTCATAGCGTACGTTCAATTTTGAGATGCTAGCACAAAAAAAGATCCCTCACTGCTCAATGATCCTGAGTGCCAAGTATAGGTCTAAATTTGCAGCCCTCCACTGGTAAGTGGTGACGTCTCAATATGAATGAAAAATTCTCGAGAGGGACATTTTAACAACAAACAAACAAAAGCAAAATCAACTTTGTTCAAGTCATTACCCCAGGGGTAATGTGGGGCCACAATGGGTGAGTTTTACTTAAGAATATATATACAGAAAATCTTTAAATATCTTCTCAAACACCAAAGACAGATGTAGTACCGCCCTCCCCCCTCCCACGCTTGGTGGTTTGATTTTTTTTTTAATTTTGCTTTGGTAAATTTTGTTTGTTTAACTTGTATATACTTAGTCCACAGGTAAAATTTCATAATTAAATAATTAACTTAACATACACAATAACACTGATGGACGACAATATGCGCAGTGAGGGAAGGTACACATTGTCGCCGGCGACAATATGAACGGGATGACAAAATGTACCGTCACAATCACGCTGCATAAAATAGCATTCGAGTCGCGTCAGTGTGGTTCAGAGACCAATTACATTCACAAAACTACCAAAAAACAGCAAAAGAAATCTTTAAACAACAATTTCTGTGGGGCGACAATATGTACAGTGAGGATAAGGCACATAATGTCGCCAGCGACAATACCGGTATGTACATATGTGACTCTTCAGTCGGCGACAATATGTACCGATGGACGAAAATTTGTGCAGTGAGGCTAGGTACATATTGTCGCCGACGACAATATTTACAAAACGACAATATGTACCGTCACATGGGGTAACAATGGCAATGTGTAATCTCTTGGTCGAAAACTTTTGAGTATTTTCATCTTTATCTCTGGATTTGTTGAACAAGTTACGACCAATTTTGGCATATATCATATATGGGTGAAGGGGAACAAAAATTATGAATTTTATTATCCCTGCCCCCTCCTTTTCTGGGCCTAAGGGGCTTCTTCTTTAGGCCTAGTCATCAAGCAGTCAGTCTGTTGGTATGATTGTAATAATTATTGAACCTTTCACCAAAATTATGAAATCCATGGCCCCATGGTTAGGATCTGGAGTAAGGATAAGGATATACTGAAAATACATAAATTCTTTTAAACATTTTCTTCTCGCCCCTTATATATATATATATATATCTAGCAGAAGAACTAGGTGCATATTTATGATGAGCAAAGGAACTTCCTCCAGATTTGTGAAATTTGTGGCCTCAGGATCAGCAGAGGTTTTGGTGGCGATGGTAGAGGAAGGGGGAGGGGGCTCTACTGATTATCTAGTGAAAATGCATTATTTCATTGAAAATCTTCTTCTCTGCTCCTGAATATTAAGCAAACAAAGAAAGTGTATAGTTATAATGAGCAAAGGTGTTTCTTCCAAAATTGTAAATTTCATGGCCCCAGGTGTAAGGGTTTCTGGAGTTAGGGTGGGGCTCTGTATTTTCAGCAGAACTAGATGATGGTTATGTTAAGCAAGGGTGCTTCTTCCAAAATTGTGAATTTCTCGGCTCCCCGGTTAAGGGGCTCTGGTGTTAGATTGGGGCTCTATTAATTTTCTAGTGAAAATGCAATATCTATTTGAAAATCTTCTCTGCTCCTGAGTGTTTAGTAGATGTACTAAGTGCATAGTTAAGCGAGCAAAGGTGCCTTTTCAAAAATTGTGAATTTTATGGCCCCTCCAGCAGGGTGTTGGTGCTAGGACATGGCTGTGTTGAATCTATAGCAAAAATGCATTATTTTATTGGAAACCTTTTCTGCACCTTTGCATCTAGGAGGGTAGTTGCTATAAGCAAGGGTACTGTATGTGTACTTAAAAAAGCGAGCTTCATATTTTAGCGGCTTTGGCGTGGACAACGATGCGCTAATTCATGAATACCGCTAAGAAGTCATTTACTTAAATAAATACAATACACGGCACGGACATGTGTAGCGCTAATTCATGATTACGCCAACAACTACATACCCCTTGATTGCGCTAAATTTTGAATATGCCAATTTATGTACACGTACAGTGTTTTAAATAGATTTTTTTAAATTCTTGACTACTGTCAAGTGTTCTGTTGCTTGGCAGGTCTCTATTAATTAATGCTTCACCTTTTATACATGTATTTCAAAAGGACATTTCTCAACCTCAGAGATTATCCTGCAACATCCAAAAAAAAAAAAAAAAATAAAAAATAAAATAAATAAATAAATAAATAAAAAATAAGAAATGCCAATTTTATTTCTTAATTCAATTGTTACATTGTTCCTGGCACACACTGTAATAATATATTGTGTATTTGGATGGTTTAAGTTTACAACTTCAGTAAAAGAAATCACAGCAAAATTCAATGTGACTACAATATATGTACTCTAATAATTTTGTTTTCCTTTGAAAGCTTAAAAAGTTCAACTTTATTTCATTTTGCATTGATTCACATCTTCCTCAAGAAATACAATGTACTGTGAATTGCATGATATAGATTATAATCTCTATCAGGTGAACAACTACAAACAATTAAGATTTATTTTACTACTTTATTGATTCCATAAACTGATTTCATGTATTCTCATTTGTGTAGCTGTTCGTATTTTGATGCATGGTTCTTGACTGAGAGATTGTTGGTATGAGTATAGAGCAGCTTGGAGGTTCCCAGTCACCTGTTGACAGATCCCCAGAATCTGCCAGATTATGTCTCTGAGAATTGGATCTAGAAGCTGACCCTCATCATAGTGAACTAAGGTCTGTAGATCATCTAGAACTGTTTGTGCTCTCATTGTGTCTACATGTCTGCAGCACAAGATCTCTAGCATGTGTAACAGTATAAAGAGCGGGACAATTGATATAAAACACCCATTCTGTAGAGAAGATTGTTGTTCTGGTATTAATTCACTGATGAAATGGATTTTATTGTCAAGAAGAATATCCATTGCTACAGCCTGTTTCATCTTTTTAGACCAGGACTGTCCTCCAACGGCCTCAGTATACATGTCTTTATCTGCATTCAACCTATACATCAGATATGGCTGTGCTAACTTGACCTTGATCTTCTCTAAAATGGATAAAGCTTCTATATATCTAAGTGTCTTGTAATAATACATGGCTATGTACATCATGTCAGAAATACAACCAAATTTGACTGCTAATTTCAGCATGTGAAAGGACATTTTTTCAGCTCTATACCTCAGTTTGTTTTCATGTGTGTAATTCTCCATGTGTAATATAAAAGCAATTTCCTGAAGGAGAAAAGCTGTGAGTCTTTGTAGCCTTAGGACTTGATACTGTGTCAGAAGGGGTGAACCTATTATCTGTTCTATTGTATGTAAACACCAAATATACCTTTGTATGTTCAATTCGATGAATACATAATGGCTTTGTGTTTCAATATATAAGTTTTCATCAAAGCTAGCCTCAGAAATCAGAGTATGTTCATCTGTACAGATGGAGAGTCTGGGGTAATGGAGGACATTTACGATATAAGACCTCATGAAAGGACTGTGTAGCAGGAATGCTATACCCTTCTCATACAACCCATACAATGTAATAAATAGTTGATGTTGTTTGTTGCAATGAATTTTACTCAGAAACATGTTGTTATCTGGAATGAAAAAGTTTGGACATATTCCCTCATACACCCATTTGAGGATGAGTTTAAAACAGACCCAGAAACCCTCCAAGAGATTTTGTGGACACCAGTGAAGTATTGTATTTTGTTGAATCACCCAGAAAACTGCTGTCTTCATGTGATAGGAACACAGTAATTTATCATCATCACCAAGTCCATTGTTAATTATTCCTTTTAAGAACAATTTAAGCAAGCCGTAAATTAAGAATTGACAGTGATTCATAGCATATACAAGTTTTTGTTCTGCCAGGGAGAAAGAAATTCTCCATTCATGGTCTTCATGTCTTCCTAGTTTATGTCCGATTGCTACAAAGTGACATCCATTTTCTACTATATCATCAACAATATGAGGCTTGGGCCATGAGTGACATCTGTCTATCCATGAGGATGCAGACGGAGGCCAAAAGTCACTAACAAAACAGAAAGCATTATCCCATTCTAATGATCCCCAATTTCCACTGGCACAGGGTCCATGTGGAGTGGAGATATATGGTCTTAAACGACAACTCATCTGTCTGTATTTAGAACTAGAAATATAATGTCTGTTATACATTCTAAAACAAACTGTCCGCATTTCTGTGTGCATGTTTGTTGACGGTAAATATAACAAAGTAAACCCTGGTGGACTCTCAGAACAGTCACAGAGGATCAGTTTTTGTCTACGTGTGTTGTAATACTGAGACTGCGATAATTCCCAAATCACACGCCTATCATTTGGCCAGCACATTAAATCTATATCTGATCCCTTCATTCTGAATCCTTCTCTTCGACTTCCACTCACCATTGAACTGTCCTCATTATTTGTTCTCTGTTGATTTATCGTTGTATCCCAGATGTCCATGGCATCTCTCCTCATGGCAACCAGTTGTGAAGTCCCCACTTCATGACACATTCCCACATACACTGACTCTGATATATGCTGTATGGCTGTCTTACTGGGGAAATTAATATACTTGTATATAGTTGTAATCAACATTGATAAATTAAAGGGTACTTGCAGTAAAGTTTTATTTTTTGAAATAGTAAGGCATGATAAAATAAAACTACAGGGAAAAAACGTATCGAAATCTATGCATAATTAATGAAGTTGTTGCGCTTTAAAAATGGATTTTTTAAACCTGTTTTGAAAATTCAGTCAAGCGAAATGATCGAAAACGAGGCTCTACTAGTGTGACGTCACAACATGTACCCCAGAAGTGGGTCAGTTTAAATGACAATGAAATTAACTCAAATAAAAAGGAAGACACTTGTTTGAATATGTGGCAAGGATCTAAAACTTTTTTTTTTTTAAAAGACGAAATAATTTGAGCTTTATATCAAACCTTATCAGTATGAAATAGTAGCCAATTCTGCAAGAGATATAGCTTACAAAAACAGCCTACAGTCTAACAAATATGACTGGAAAAAAGAATCACTGAAATGCAGAAGATTCATCAAAATACCCAAGGGAAACACAGGAATGCCATTTTAATTCTATATTTTGGGTGTCTTATATTAAACAATGACTTTATTAATTTATATTTTCACATGACTTCATTATAATCGGATTTAATTGACAATTTTCTGGTATAGACCATCTTCGCTAGCCAAGGGCTTCTGATACGCTGACTCTCCTCATAAGCTCTTGGCATGCGGTGTTAAAAAAAGTTGGGATTTTTTTCTCAAGTTGTGATTGGAGTTGATCGACATCGTTCGACCAATCAGCAATTATTTTTTGTAAATGACGATATTTGCGTTCGGGATATATCTTGACTCTTTAATATCGGTAATGTAAAACGCAAGTAAACAATGATCCGTAAGATAACATGCCATTCTATGAATAGCCATATGGTGTCATCCAATTTCTAAAGCAACTTGCAAAATATGTGATTAAGAATCTATACTGAAGATGTAGATTTGCATTTTTACATGTTTAAATAACAAATTAACATAACTCAATACCTTCTTGTTAATTATTCTTTAAAAATTTTTTTTTTTTTAAATACGCTTTTTATTTTTGTCGATGACGCAATCTGTGTGTAATCATGATCACGTGACAAAAACAATCCCGTCTTTTGTCAGCACCGTATGCCAAGGGTTTATGAGGAGAGTAGCGTATCAGAAACCCTTGGCTAGCGAAGATGGGTATAGACGGAAATTGCTCTATATTTAAATTTGATATTTGCTACCATGTACAGTTATCGACAACAATAGCACCAGAATTTTACTACAAAGTCATAACCTTATATATTCTCTTTATTCCATTATTCTAAAATTGAAGACAATATGAATAATTAAAACTCAAATAAATTTTTAATGATATAAATTTTCATCACTGAACAAAATAAATTTACTGTACATGCATATAAATTCAAAATTTACGATTATACTAAATATTATTTAGCGTGGTTGCAATGCTGAATGAATTTTAAATACCCCCCCTTCAGTATTGTAACTCTCTTTTCTAGTCTTCAGATTTCTTTGATATGGTTTTAAAAACATAATACAGCGTTTTATATGCAAGATTTATATATATGTATACATAAAATCAAAGAGCAGAACTATAGAGGCTCTGTTTCTCCAATTAGTCGTAACCTATCCTTGATTACTGAAGAAAAATCAGTAGTTAAGATATCCCCCCTCTAATCAGATGTTTAATGGATTCGGAAACAAAGTTTCAAAACTTGTATTATAATCAGTAAGCGGTACTTGTACAGAATATCCACGGTCGTAGGAGGTTTTATAAAAAATGCCAAATAAGAAGAGAGTTTGAAATTCCATAAAAATATTCATTTATTAGATAATTCAACGCATAGTTGGAAATAAAAGTTTAAATTAAAAGTGTAGTGGTGATTGTTGAAATTGGCATGTTTTGTCCAGTAAGTGTAGACTTCCTCTTGTCAAAACCGAAGAATTGAAAGGGGTGATAAACACACAGCGCCTCAGGCACTCCAGCTTCATGTATGTCCCACTATATATTTATGACAAGGGTGTGAAATTGACATGATCACAAGAATGATTCAAGTCACATTGGCTTTTGATTGATTGATTGATTGTATGTTGTTTTACGTCCCATTCGAGAATTTTTCACTCATATAGAGACGTCACCATATACCGGTGAAGGGCTTAATATTTTGACCTTTATTTGGCACTCAGCGCCATTGAGCAGTGAGGAATCTTTATCTTGCCAACGCCTTCCGTTACACGGGGCCTTGGATTTTAAGGTCTCATCTGAGGGACCCGCAACTTTCACTTCAAAGTGGCGAAGGAACAGTTGCTACCTTTTTTTTTTTTATCAACTTAGGTCAGTCGCGGCCGAGATTCGAACTCACGACCTTCCGAGCGAGCGCTCTACCGACTGAGCTACCGTGAACGGTAAAACCCAAATAGATTTCGACGGAAGTAAAAAAAAAAAGAAAGACACCAATCAAGTCTATGATAGAACAGTTGTGACCGATATTATAAATATATATAACGAAGATGAATGTAAAATTAAACAAAAATTGGTTGGAATCAGATTTTATGTAACAAAATAATTCTTACTGAGATTTTGACTGATGTTAAAAGTATTAGTAAACATTTATCCAGTTTAAAACGAAAAGGTTGTGAATGATATATTAAATATAGTTACGAAGCATACAAAATGAATTAACATTTGGTTGAATCAGATATCACTGTATAGGGAAGGGGGTTTAAAAGAGGAAATATTTTTCTCTTTCTCGCTGACATATGAATTCTACATGCTCCCTTATACTAAATTCATATAATAGAATACATATTCTTAATTTTCATTCATTCAAAAACAAAAAGAGAAAATACTACAGCAAGGATCATATCAGTGCTTATTAAAAGATTTAAGTAGATTTAAGTAAATTTAAGTTGATTTAATTTAAGTTAAATTTAAGTAGAAATTCTTCCTTTTGAACGTCTGTGTATACTACGAGTATGTTGTCCTTGGTTATTGCTTAAAGTAGCAATTTAAAATCGTCTTAACAATATTCGAAGGGAAAAAAGACATGATGTAGCAAGATATAGTAAAATCCTTTGATTCCCATTGGGCAATTATTAAAAACATGACTCTAACTTTTCCGCGATCCGTAGTATCGTCACTTAATATGAGGTACACACAAAAAATATTGAAAAAAATATTCCCTACACTATGATTACAAAAAAGGATATAATACTACAGTCACTATGAATTTTGTATTCACAAATGTCCCTTAAAATAAATTTAAAAAAATACTCAAAATATCATTTTTACTCCACTGTTTTCTTTGCATTTAATTTGGTCGGTACATGTTGCGACGTACGTCACACCGGTCAAGGCCCGAAAACAAAGCGTTTCAGAAAATCGCTCAGATGTGAAATCCATATCTCCGTTAATTTTGCATAGATTTTGGTGCGTTTTTTTTTTTCCTTCACTTTTATTTCAACATGATCTTCAGCATATTAAAAAATAAAACATCACTGAAGGTCACCTTTTAAAAAGTTAAGTGTAAATTTACTATTTAAATAAAAGAATGTTTAAAATGTATCATTTAAATTGTTCTCAACTTATTTGAAAGAATGTAGTAACGTACTAGGAAATTTAAATGTAAGTTTTTTTTGTGCCATGCGTTATATAGTATAATAATATACATTTGTCAAGAAACTGAAATATACTGATTCAGAAACTGTGTATAGGCAGTTTAAGAGTAATATACTGCTGTCATTAAAACTTACATTTGTGAAGTTCTACTAGTGTCCATGTTTAGTTGTTTTTTCTTTTACAAGGAATTAAATATTAAAATTTCGAGGAAGTTTTTAAAAGTTTCAGTTGATATAATTAGTACAGAAAATTCACAGCCATTACTTAATTTTAATATATAGCATTATCTTTATGATCTACCATATACAAGGAAGAAATCTGGAATTTCATTTTCCACTTTTTTTAATGAATAAAACTATGCCATTTCGTAAACTGAAAGGTGACTGCATTGTAGAGTTGTGAAATCGAAAACATTTAAGAGACAAAGGTCTTGGGGATGACAAGAAAATTTTAAAGATTTTTTTTAAGCCATGTGTATTTTAACGTTAGAATGGTCAACAAAATATATTGATTCAGAAAGTGTAAACATTTTTAGAGTTGAAAATTCCATTTTCACAGGTAATTAAGATTTGAAAAATATTGTTTTAGGTGCCATAATTAGTTCAGAAAAATTAATCCCGTCACCTCTACTTTCATTTTATATAGTACATGTTTGACCTTTTTGTGTCATTTAAGATACATATCACCGTGTGAAATTGACTTGTTTTTTTTTTTCATAATTCATTTTGGACTCTAAATGTTATATTTAATTTTTGTTTTAATGTGATATTTAATATTCTGAAATTATTTGGTTTTAAAATTTGCATTTTACAAATCTTTTTCATGTTAAGTTATTAAGTTATTAAGTGTTCATATAATTGCTGAGTGACTCTTGTCGGCTTACAAAGGGGCAGAGTGTTAATGCCCTAGGACCTTTTAATCCCTTATAGAAACATTATGTAATTTAATTATCGGTGTTCTTTATGCCCATGCCATCAAAACATTTCATTTATTGTCACCTGTGTCACTTTTACTCATTGTCAACACCTGTCATTTTTAACTCATTGTTCAATTCCTCTTAAATACCATTGTCAAATTTTACTGGACAGTTCGGAGGCCGGGAGGCCTGTTCAACAAAGCGAACGTTCGCGAGCGCTCGCCTAAATTCCTTATCCCTCCAACAGAAATGTTCGCGAGCGCTCGCGAACGTTCGCTCTGTTGAACAGGCCTCTACCGGCCACGTTCGACTCGTTCCCCATCATGTTCTAACTATTTCTTCTTTTAACAGTTTGGAGGCTATGGCCATATCCAACTGGTTACTGTCTATTGTTGTTCCATGTTAATCATTTCGTTAATAAATT